AGTAACAGAGCTGTACTCTTAATATTTCATGTACATTTTCTGTATATACCCTGTCTATAGTTTGTATTCAATACAAATATTTGCTTCTTGTAAAAAAAATAGTGTTTTGTGTTGAAAAACAAAGAGGAAAAAACAAAAAACAAAAAAAGTAGTGTATGGAGTCGAACGTTGGCAGTGTAACCGCGGTTACTGCGGTTACCGTGAGAATTTCAACCGCGGATAACCTATCCGCGGTTGCGGATTGCGGTTTTTGGTGACGGTTTCCACTGCAGTCCCTACTGAGTGGATACTGTGGACTAGGGTGAGAAAAATTTTACTTTTATTGTAGAAATAATAATTTATACCCAGATAACGACTTTATTTATTGTCTAATAATACATATTAGCTGTATACACTTATATGTAGAGTGAAACATGTGGTTTCACTAGTAAGAATCAAGTATATAAAAATGCTTTATTACACTCCCAGTCAAGTACTCGAAGATTGGCACGGTAACGTGGATTACCGCGGTAACCGTGAGAATTTTTACCACGGTAAGAAAAAACCACGGTATGGATCGCGGTAAGCTCGGATGGTTACCATTCCAGGGCCTAGCGTCGTCTGGACGCGTCGCGTATCTGCTGACATGATCATGCACAGGCATTGAATTTTCGGTTTTCCTTTTTATTATGCAACCAACAGGGCCATTTTTCCGTTAGAGAAAGAGCTAAATGGATAGACCAACCTCACCGGAGCCTGATGGGCCAAAGCCAATTCGCCGTCTCCAGGAGTCACTCATTAATCGAATAGCAGCTGGAGAGGTACGTTAGTTCACATTCTGGCAGTCTCCCGTGTACAAACGACCCATCTGATGCACGTAGATTATTCACAGACCTTCTTCTGCGCTGAAAGAGCTACTTGAAAATAGCCTTGATGCTGGATCGACTTCAATACGTGTAACAGTCAAGGATGGCGGATTAAAGCTTTTGCAAATTCAAGACAACGGATGCGGCATACGGGTGAAGTGCAATTTCGCGGCGGGAACGCACTTTCACGTGCTCAATAGTAGCGATTTTGTAGAAATCAGACCTCGCGATACTAGCAGAACGATTCACAACCTCCAAACTTTCTACCTTTTCCGATTTGTCGTCTCTTCGGACATACGGTTTTCGTGGAGAAGCACTAGCATCCATTTCGCATGTCTCACAACTGTCTGTCGTGACAAAGACAAAGACAGATAGCTGTGCATATAAGTGCGTGGTTTGCATCTTCACGTTGTACTAGACTTCTTACAAAAAAATGCAGAGCGCATTATCTTGACGGACATCTTGTTCCTCCAAAGCCTGGCCAGAGTGCAGATCCAAAACCATGCGCTGGAAATGATGGTACCACCATAACCGTTCGTCAGAACTTTTGACTGTTTTCTAATGTATTAATTGTTTGGATGGAACAGGCAGAAAACCTCTTCTATAATACACCCGCTCGTCTTGCAGCACTGCGAAGTTCATCAGAGGAATACGCGCGAATACTTGATGTCGTTACGAGATATGCTGTTCATAATCCGAGCGTTGCCTTTGTCTGCAAAAAGGTATCGTTTAAGCAGAGGAGAAGTGTATTGGTTGATTTAAACGCTCAAATCTAGGCTGGCTCCGCAGGACCAGATCTCTCAACTCCTTCAAAATCAACAACGAAACAGGCAATTCGCCTTCTCTATGGCCAAACGATCGCCCGTGAACTCCTGAGCATAAAGTTCTCGTCCAAGTCTCCAGACCACACAACCACATCAGAAGAAGAAGAAGCAATGGACATCGATGACACCGACATCATCGAAGGAGAAGGTAGCTGGAAGGGTGAGGCACTGTTTACCAGTGCGAACTATCACTCGAAGAAGATGGTCTTCCTGCTATTTATCAATCGTTGGTCTAATATAACCTTTGTGGAGATCACAACTCTAACCATCAAACCAGATCGACTTGTTGAGTCCACACGTATTAAGAGGGCTGTTGAAGGCGTTTATAGTACAATTCTTCCGAAGGGAACCTCCCCATTTGTCTACCTTAGGTGGGTATCTTTCTAAGGATCTGGAACTTCTCTTGATCTGAACGTGCTTGTTTCAAAGCCTTGAGATCGATCCACGTGCTGTTGACGTTAATGTGCACCCAACGAAACGCGAAGTCCACTTCCTCGATGAGGAGGCAATCATAACGCGTGTTTCCGACGAGATTCAGCAAGCTTTGGCAGGGCAAGGACGGTCAAGAGTACTTGAATACCAGGTTTGTAGCCAGTTTGAGAGAACGAATTCACACTTAACTTTCGTTCGTTGACAGACGCAGACTCTTTTAACTGGAGGTACATTAGAAGCAAGTCAAAGAGACAAGAAGGATAAAGGCAAAGCATCATCTCAAGGAACCAACGATGTCGAAGACGATGGCGATCACGCAGCTCCCAGCGTGACGACCGCCAAGCAAAAGGCCGTGTACTCCAAGGATAAAGTTCGCGTATCACAGGCAGATAGGAAGCTCGATTCCATGTTCCCCTTAATCAACCCAACAACGCAAGCACCCTCAACCTCGGAACGTGGGGGAGACAAGCGCAAAGAGACTGGTTCACCCGCGGAGTCTCAAACGCCTCCCGTAAGGGCTGCACGTGTGCAAGAGATTAAAGAGAGCCAATGTTTCCTGACGTCAGTAAAGGGACTCCGGTCGGACGTTGAGAAAGCCCGTCATAATTGTAAGATCTTCTTTATCGAAATAGGCATAGCAAGCATTTACTATTTACGCCGCTCAGTCTTAACCGAGATCATACAAAACCATGTGTTTGTCGGGATCGTCGACCTCCGACGGTCCCTTTCACTAATTCAGCACGAGACTAAGCTATATTTATTGAACCATGCTGCACTTGCGTAAGTCTCTTTGCACGTAACGTACCTATCGTTATTCAATTACTTCTCGCGCAGAGAAGAGCTATTCTACCAATTGGGCCTACGCCAATTTGGTAATTACTCGCGCATGAAACTCGAACCGCCACCTCCAATCCGACATCTAGTTCAACTTGCGGTACGTACAGAGAACGAACGATGGAAGGCCACTGGTCTAGATATCGAAGCAGATGAAGTCGTTGATGTGTGTCTCCAATTCACTTGTTACTTGTACAAGGTTGATTCTGACATACTATAGCGCATCGTTACAAAATTAATCAAGAATGCCGCAATGCTAAACGAATATTTTTCAATGAACATTACACCTGAAGGAACCCTAACTAGCCTACCTCTCCTTTTACGCGGATATACACCAGATCTTGCTCGTCTCCCACTCTTCCTTATGCGACTCGGACCTCAAGTCTGCTGGACGCAAGAACGTGAATGCTTTGGCTCATTTCTTCGCGAACTAGCATATTTCTACAGCCCGGGAGACCTCGCAACTTCTACGTTGGGGGAGGGATCCGAGAAAGCGGGTGAGGATGATGCAACAAAGAAGGCAGAGCGCTGGCAGGTCGAGCATGTGTTGTTCCCTACTATGCGAAAGTATTTACTCCCACCACGTACCTTATTAGACCGAGATGTCCTGCAAGTAGCAAGCTTGCCGGATCTGTACCGTGTTTTTGAACGGTGTTGAATGATAGCATACTCAATACATTCACATTTTTCATCGTCGCATGGACGCTAGCATGGATCAACAGTTGAATAACTTGTAGATGCATAAAGCAGCCTTTCGCAGTTGACGTTCGAGGATCTGGCGGAGGGAAGATTATACTGCAGCTCAGATGGTTCCAAAATCCTATGTGGAAATTGAACGGGTCGGCGTGATTGGCTGAGTAGTTTGACCGAACGGCAAGATGCAATGAAAGCTTTCTGGACCTAATTTACGAATACCGTGCTACAACTCTCGGCACGGAAAGAACTATTCACGGATTGTGCATGTCTATTCTACAAGTGTAGTTTCTACTTATGTTGTAATGGAAGAAAAATGATACTGTTACAAATAGAAGAAGGCAAGAAGGCAAGAAGGCAAGAAGGCAAGTCCAAGATAAATGTCAATAACGCATAACAAGACACTATGAGTCAAAAAAAAAAAAGAGAGAGAACAGCCAAAGACAGATATAAGTTAGTTTCGATGGTTCGTGCCAAAATATCCGTTCTGAAGATGACGACCGGCATTGGACGAAGTATTCGCTAAATCGTCGAAAGCAAACGTGTCTACATCAAACTCGCTGCTGTCCGAGTCATCATCAGATCCGTCGTATCCATTCCGCAGCACATTGCCCCGACTGTCAACTGGGTTGACATGGAAGACATCGACAAAAGGAGTTTGTGGAGAGTCCAGCGCAGCTGCCGTATCCGTCGATTTTGCCAGAATTGCAGCAACGCGAGCCTCGAGTTGCTGATTCGGCAGCGACGACGATGAATTCGGTTGCGAAATCGGAAGTGGAGGTGGAGCTGATTGATCCTCAGTACCTGGGTCACCCAAGAAGTATGTGCTGAGTTCATGCAAGTTCTGGACCAAGTCACCAAGATCAGCCTCGAGTGGATCCGTGAATCGGTCAACCTCCGGTTCAAACTCGATTCGTGAGGGACGTGTGGGCATTTTGCATGTATCAAATACTGCCATGACATTTCTACGGCAAATGTAACGATGGCGTTCTGGGCGAGCGACGCTCCACCCAGATTCGTCTGGTAAGCCGAAAACCTCGGTATCGACCACGGCATCTTGCTGCATGACCGAACTGATATGCATACTCATGCGTAGGACGTGTCTCGCAGGTAATCCACCGGAAATGGATATCGGCTCATCTAGCACTTCCAGTGCTTGTGACGCCAAATCAGTCTGGAGCAATCTAAGCAGTGGCATAAGTAGCTCCGAGCCCAGACGGTCGACAGGGTTCCTCGTTTCGCGAAGTTGGAAAAGCACTTTCAACAACCGCATCGCCTTTGTTTGTAGCCATCGTTCCCGGTTCAAGACTAGGCCCATGAGCAAGGTGACAACGTCGGTCCATTGGTCAGGTGCATAATGCTCGCGCAGAGCTGCAGCGGCTTGACGCAGGAAGTCGTCCTTGGTACGAAATCGGCATTTTGCAAACGAGGTCATTATACGAGAAATGCTTGGCCGATCTTCGTCTTCCGCAAACGCCGCAATACTATTTGCAAGTGCAACAATAAGGTCGTCCCTCGAATTGTCCTCCATGGACTGAAGACACCAGGGCAGAATCAATGTATACATGTCACGAACTCGATTTCCGGACGGATCAACTAATGCCGCATCTTTGACCTCAGACAACCTTTGCAATATTTTCAATGTCTGAGAATATGTCCTAGCCGATCGCAGTCCTTTGAGTAGCAAAGGCTGCAGGCCTGGCGAACCATCGAAGTCTTCAGGCTTATTCGCGACGAGCACTTCAGTACGATATGGGTCCGTAAGGTCAAGTCGGTCTAGCAAGCATTCAAGGAGATCCAGCAATTCTAGAAACTCGACTTCCACTGGTGTTGAAAGGCAGGCAACAGTACACCAGTACAACTGTGGCAAGAGGGATGTGTCCAAGTTGTCCGACTTAACGACGGAACTGAGTGTTATGATGAGCTCAGCGGTGAAAGGATGAAGATTCGATTCCTGAGCAGCTATTGTGTTAGAAAGACGGCCAAGAAGCTGAGCAAGATCGGCCTGGCTAACCCTAGGCATCAATGACTGGAACACCTGAAGGGAGCGAAATGCGATGGGACGTATGGAACAAGTGGTACCCCACAATAACGCAAGAGAACCCCATTCATCAGCCAAGTCCGGATGTAAAGGCCGCAGCCACTGTAGGACGAGTGCGCACAAGCTACGCATCTTCTCAGCAATATGTGAACTGGAGTCGTCTTCGGTCCAAAAGAGCGACGCGCTGTCTCGTTCTAGTTCTGCTAAGACCGATCTTGTAGAAACATTCGCGTGCGTGGAAGATGACATTGCTAGTTCATCGTGACCAGGGAGCCACGCGCGCAAAATCTGGAAGAATAAATTCCGTGCTTGTTCTCTGACAAATGGATTTCGGTGCCCTATGTGGGAGAAAACGCCTTGCAATACGTTCGGAACCGTCTTATTCATTTCCCATGGATGAGAAATTGCAACGTCCCCGAGAAACAGCAGAGCAAACTGTCCAGCTCCAAGTGAGTGCTTGGGTTGTTCAGCGAAGAGTGCATCCAAATCAGCCCAGAAATCGGACTCCTCTGCATCTGGGAACATGAACTTGTGGTCCATTGTAGGCAGCATCCGCACTGGCTCAATGACTTCGCAAAGATCTTCAACTATTTGTCGGCCACAGGATGTTCGCGAAAGACACGCGACAATCTTCCTTGCCGTGTTAACATATCCAGTGCTGCCTACTTTAGAAGCGTGTTCCAATAAGAATCGTATCGTTGCATGGCCATTCGGAGAGTGGTCATCAACAAGCCATCGCCATAATGCAAAGACTTGTTCTGGATAACTTTCCGAATACCGCATCGTTAAGGAAACGAGATGGTAGAGAACAACCCGGCCATCTCGTGTGAGAGATGAGTTATCCTTCACAAGAAGGTTGACTGACGCAAACCATGGCGACAGCCCGTTGAGGATATGAGAAAAAGCGTAGGCATCCAAAACATCGTAGACCATCGGCAGTCTCGATGCACACTGAATAATGACCGTAACCGCTTCTTCGGGGTGCTCCCGAGCCAAGAACTGCGAAATCTGGTATTGTGCATCCAGATAAACACTAGCAGCGGAACACCCAACAGAGGCCTCAAAGCGGAATAAGTTAGACCTTCCGCCAGCCTTTTTGTTCACAGCATCCAATGCAGCCAAGGTCAGACGACGCGTATCGACCAAGGGGCTGCATAGATTTGTGAATTAGTTCATTTCCAGGCGACTCATACAAGGACCTTCTCGAGGACCTCGGAGCGTTTTCTGCCCGGCATTTATATTTGGATACCTCCCGGGTGAAAGCGTCGCCAACGTCTTACGCTCGTCGCAGTCGACGTCAGGATCGCCTGTATTTGGCCGTTGCTCATCTTTACCAACTTACAGCTCATTATCTTAAGGAACAAAGGGGTGCTTGCATAACAGACGGTTTAACAAACGTCTTGAAATTTGTTCGTCATACGCAGGCATTTCTCAGCCACCCGGACGTTAGGAGTGATTGGCAGCAACAGCGCTTGCGGCGATATTTTTGTGGAATTGTTGAACAGCTGTTTGATGGTCTGTCAAGTCTCCAGTCGTCAGATAGGTTCATCCCGACGCATACACACTTGACTCTATATCGTCTCTGCGAAGAATGGTGCCAATGCGGAAGTCAGTCGGAAAACGTCAAACAACGACTTATTACTATGCAGATCGCTGCTACGGCTGGATTCCCGGACCCTCAACAGAAGGCCAGTGCAATTGCTCAATTCCAAACAGAGACGCGGCTTTTGTCACATGCAGCGGCGGGTGCTATGGCTTCATTAGTGGTAAGTATGGTTGTTTTAGCACTCTCATCAGGTATTGATCTATTTTGTATAGCAAAAGGCATTCTTCCCGCCTGAACAGTCTTCTGGTTCTCCAACCGATCGACTATCGGTAGACTTCTTAGTTCCGCTTGAAGTAGCTCCTACCCTTGATAGACTCGTAGCTATGCTCGCGAGTATGCACGACTCTGTTAAGGCATGCGGAAGGTTAGCTAGATCGCCATGTATTTATTTTCAAATCTAACTACCGTTCTTCAGGAAAGCACTTCGTTCGCTTGTTAATCGCAAAGACGGTGACGAGCCATTTTTGGATGAACTTCTGCGAAGGAGTTTTGTAACATCGACGGATCCGGAAACGAGCGGTTATCGATTCTTCGAGATTGTAGCTGATGTAATTTGCACTGGTGAATCCTGTCAACTCTCTTTTGGACATGTAGTTTGCCTGGGCAGCACGACACACCAATGTCTCTGAATATGCTGTAATCAGAGTCGAGGAATCGAATGAGATAGCGGAGCAAGCCCTTCGTGTCTACTGCGACGATATCGCGGTCGGAATTTAGCTCTGCTGATACGGACGGTATCCGCGTGTGGTTCGCTATCTTGGGCTCTGGAAGAGTCGCGGTGCAGCACCGAAGCTTGAACCACATGTGCCATTGTTCGATCAGAGAAGTGTTATCTGAGATAAGTCGGTCCCTTTCGCGAATAGCGTTATTGGGTCCTCGGTTTGCCTGAATACGATTATTATTAATTCCCGAAAGAGATATAACGGCCGGATGGTAACGAGTCGTTGCAGCAACCCACATATCCCTGCACGACAAAATAACTTTCGACTGGCGATTGGCCGGGGAACGAATTATAGAAGGGTAAATGAGCAACCAGATATTCCAATCCCGCTCATCCTCACTGCTAGCAAGCCTTAGAAGTACATCTCCCGCATCTAATTGTCGCCATTGCGCTAATCGAGATAACTCCTTCGCATCGAGGAGGTCATCGAAGCCAAAGAGGAAGGTCTGTGGTTGCCCCTTGCCTAACAGTGCATCCAGAATGCGGAATGAGTCGTCAGAAAGTGAATTGAGAGGAGTGGAAGGTTGGTCCTGGAAGTGATCGACTATTCTTTCAAGAACCCGGATCAACTTAACGCCAACTGACCGTGCCGTACGTACTCTTGAGCTCAGTAAAAATAGTGCTGCGGCCTCCACGTCGAAAAACTGAGAATTAAGCCAAGTCGTATCTCCCTCACAGAAGTCACTGGAACTGCCCGTGATCCCGTCTGCCCATGCCTCAACTATGCCGAGCCATACATTCAACAATCGCATACTCTCAAACGGTAGTTTTGTCCCAGACGCCTCTGTCGTGAACTGCTTCGGAGAGAAGAGGAACGACGCAAATCTAGACAAAACTCGGGGAATATGTGCCGGATCTTCTGAAATGCATCGCAGGGCATTGGAAGCCGACTCGCTAACGGATGGTTCAACGTGAATGATTGCGCGTATGAGCATGTCTAAGGCTTCGTCAAGTGGGAGAGAGGGATGGAGGCATCGGGGCCAGGACGAGAAGCAGGTGGCCAAGAGATTCATCTGTCCAGAGTAAGCTGCTGGATATGCCACCGTTACTTCAGGGTGTTGACGAATGACTAGACCAGCCGAGTCTTCATATGCACTATTCAGGCGCATGTAGGCCCAGTCGTCATCAAAAATCGACATTTGGCCGACTGATCTTGAACAAGTTACCGAAATGGACACAAGAACAGATCCTAGTTTATCGAAGAATTCGTCCATACCAGGCTTTGCTAAAACGATTGGTGGGCAGAAAGTTGCCAGTGACGGATAGTCATCTTTTGCCGGAGGAACGGAGAAGTCCGCATTTGAAGGCCATGTCGGGGCACTTTCTTCTTTTTCCATTAGATAAAGGGAGCGAAGGGTAGCTTCCAAAGCAATCGTCGTTCGCTCAGGGGCTAGAACGAGTGAAGCATTGCCTGATTGAGCCATTTTCACCTGTTGCTCCTGCATGAGGTTCAACACCAGCTCGGTGCCAAAATCGAGATGTCGTGTCAGAATGAAATGGACAAGATAAATCAATGGTTCAAGGTTATCATCCACGTAGTTTACTCCCAAGCGAGATAAAGGGAAGAAATGGCGCAGTATTCCATCCAGACGATTAGTCGCGGCGGAGGTTGTCTCACGACAGCGGTACAGGTAAGTCCACACCAATCGCATTATACCATTCAAGACAGGTATCCTAAAGGGTCGCTCCTGTGGCTCAAAATCAGAAATACATAAGAGAAAGTATACTCCAGCATTAATCCCTACCTTGAGCTTGGGAATGTTGCTTTCAAAACAATAAAGCCAATTCTTCAAGAAAAACTCCTGAGGGGCAACGCAAAGGCTAGTTATGACAAGAGGATAGGCTACCTGCCAGTAGCGTGGCTTGTTCATCATGTCTCGTGCTTTTAAGTAAATTATCTCAATGGCTTTCGCCCAACCGGGATGGTTAACCTCCGCTTGAGCAGTCTAGTGACATCCCAGCTGTTAGACGTGACCCATAAACGAGGACATATACTACTCACCTTCCCAATAGGATGAAGCAGTTGCACAAGCGTCTCGGCAAAGGCAAATTTAAGTCGGTAACCGTGTGTATTCTCGAAACATTTTGAAAGTGATTCCATGAACTCCGCCCCTTCTTCGAATGCCTCTGGTGGCCAAACTTTGATCTCGACATGCTTGAGAGCTTTTACAAGATGCTCATACTTCAGGTCCATATCCTTTGGTATCTGATTTGTAGCAACGGGGCTGAGTTCATGCAAGAACCGATCCGTAACACTTTCAAATCTGGCCGGGATAGTGAGACGCGGAAATTTGTGAGAAAAGAAACGGCCTGTATTACCTGTGTTTTGACAGCCTTCCCAGAAGGGTTGCATACAGGTCAGCATTAACCCTATGGTTGCGAGATTGGCTCAGCAATTTCAAGTTTGGACGCTTGAACTGGTCGAAAGTCGTTTCCTCGAGGCTGAAGCCCAAGCTTTCACCAAGCGCGTCGCGCGAGACGGTCTGTACGACCGCGATAAGGGCACGGCACATAATGTATATGCTTGCCAGGCTTTTTCTTTCATTAAGAATATTGACAATTTCTTTTGGCCGGGTTGCCCTGGCAATTGTGGATGAAGAGGAAGAATGCAGCAGGATGACGTCCCCCGAGACGCTTTCCTGCTGAGATCGGCGCCAGCGCATAATGGAGTCTACTACGGGTTTGGTGGTCTTCATCGCTATTTGGCCAAGCGAGACAAGGAGGCCGTCAAATTTGCTGTCAATTTGTGGACCTGCGAGGTCTGTTAACGAAAGATCCCGCTCAAGGGGCTGCTTCAGGAACTGGTCGATTTTAGCCTCTGCTACGGCTGCAAATTGCATGAAGATGGCGTGCAGTGCATATTCAGACGGTGTCCTCGGATCGATAACAACGCGGTCCTCGGTATCCGCTGCATACGGCATGTCAGTCCTTGGTAAAAGACCGCTATATTCGTTCGGGACTCGAGGTACAGGTGGTGGAGTCGACTGACGAGGGGCGATGTGATGGAACCCAAAGGAATAATCGCTCCCTGCATCTGAGTTGTGGAACATGGAACCCGAATGCGAGTGATGTGACCTTCCATAAACTTGGTTCCCCGACCTCGAAGACATGGCGCGTCCATGTCGATGGTCGTTGGTCGACGAAGGTGTCGGTGGCCTTTGGTGACCACTTGGTGGGCTTCTCGTATTCTGTGCAGTTGTGCTATGCGCAAGAGACGAAGCGGAACGATTGAAAGGATTACGAAGAGCAGGGTATGCTTGGCGGTCGAAGGATGGTACGGGCGGGGTTTCGCTCGACTTGCCTCCGCTTTTGAAGGCATTGCGGAGAGACGCAAAAGACGATTTCTTCGTAAACGGTGCGGAAGTAGGAAGGGAAGCCTGTGACGAATGTGCCGTTTGTAAAGAAGTGTTCGACCGTGCGGCAAATGAAGTCGACGGTGCTTGAAAGGAGAATGCAGAATCCTCCGATGCAGCAGAATCCTGGCGTGCATGGAAATAGTCCCGGTCTCCAGCGTGTTTTTCTGGACCAGCGGTTGGCGTCAGAAGCGTCGGCGAGTCAGCACCAGACGAGGAGCCAAATTTGAAGGCATTGGCACCACGACCAAATGGTACAGACGGTGAACTGAAATCGTCATCATCAAGGTCTAGCAACACTACTCAGCAGTATTCATGTGATGCAGGTGTCATAAACATACCTGGAATGGTAATTTGGCTCAAACCCTCAGCCATCTTTTAGGACTATGCCGCCTAGGCCAGCAAAGCGGGTCCGTCGCGCGAAGGAAGCGCGTCACGACGATACGGTTACTCCGGAATGAACGCGTCGATAGTAGCTCAGTGAGCTACCGAACGTCGAAGCAGACGTGCACAAGGCGGCTGCAGAGTGAACGACGACAAGGATGCTGGTACTGGCGCTGGTAGTTGTCGCGTTGTATCGTGGACACTGGACACTGGAGTCCGGACATGAATACGCTACTCTACTGCGTATGAGAAAATGATTCCATATGCGGAGACCTCAATTATTACACCCAACCCGACAACAATGGCATAAACCCACTGATGTCGGACAAGTTTATAGTTTTTAGCGCTCCCCAACGTATAGGACTCGACAGAAGTTCCCCACGTCGTTAGAGCCAGTACACCTTGACCAATGGCCAGCACAGTAGCAGAAAGCTCAAGTCCAATCAAGGACTTCAGGGCTGCTCACACCTGTTCATCTGGCGTCCATAGGTATAGAGGCGCTGTGGTAGAGGTGTCTTTCCTAGCTTTATCCTGCCTTCCTCTTAGGACTTACTTCTTGTGTGAACAGGATTTACAACTTCCACCGGCATTTGCACTCCCACAAAGCGAAAACATAGCTCGTGCGATCGAGCTGGCGTACGATCGTGACTTCTCGCACATCCCGTACGTCTACCGCGGGATTTTTGTGCCTTCTTTGTCACTGACGGGATGCAACACAGGATATTATCCAAAGAACGCAAGCCACTGGGATATCTTGACGTAGCGGCGCTCAAGACCAAATGGGAGGCTGGCCAGGCCGATCCGGTTTGTGACATTACACTGCTCTCTTTCTGCAGATCTGATAAATCCTAAACATATGCAGAGTGACAATGTAAAACAGTATATGACCAAGTTCTCTCGTGGGCCATCGCAGATATATACACTCATCACGCCAGACACGCCCCTTCATGAACTCGAAGATTTCCTAAAGAATAATCTTTTCGCACTTGGTAAGTTTCCCTGATCAGACATGCAAGTGATCATGCCATTTGACGCATCCCCACTTTCCTTCAAGTCACCGACCCGGAGAGAAAATTCGTCTTGGCAGTGGCCACCCAGAGTGATCTAGATGTACGTCGTCCATTGGGCTGTCTGAAAATAACGGCATACTTAGTTCATTATGTGCAGAGTTACATCACTCGTCGTGGCCTCTGACGGAAATACCACGGTCTTGTTCGCTGGCATATTTCACTAGTAGCATGGTTTTAATTGCCCTGTTTTAGACTTTTGATGTTTACTACAATCCTTTGGTCCCGTTAATCGCATAGGCAGCATTCTTGCTCTGGTTATTTTTCTTGAAAGCGATAGGGTACTTCTCTTCGATGTGTAACCAAATCTGCAAACTTGGCTTTGATCATCGCTTCGGTGACTCTAGCGTATATATGATGCAACAGACTTCTAGCTTTTTTTCTAGATCTGTGAAGATAAAACATACAGCGATGACTTTTAAGGTCTTAGCTTACACTTTGTAGAATCTCGAAGATTGACAAATGGGACTAAAATCTCGGAATCTTTACTCTAACAGGCACAACGAGCGGAATAACACATCTTGAGAACACAGGGTTGTCATTCTGGCCCCGCCGAAGTAGGATCGGATTCTGCAAAGATCCGAATGGAAAAAAGATCGTAGTACTAACCCACTCAACCTGGCGAACTTGGGAGCATCTCGCTCGACGTAGGTCGTAGAAGTCGCTTTGGATCGTGAAATGGTCTGGTATAGCGAGTGCTCGTTCGGAACTAGCCGATTCGAAATGGACACCATGTGTCTTGCACTCCATGCTTCATGTCATGGTTGCGGCCTCACAAGGCTTCCTTCGACCCTTTTATCTCCAATTCACAACTTTAATAAGGTAGAAGTTTGCCCTAGGGTGTTTTAACTGACTGTATGTTTGTACATGATCGCGAGAAAGTGACGAAAGAGGATTCGTGTCGCATTTTGTACGCATCGTTTTCCCTTTCTCGACGCTACCGATCAGAATGGCCACAGAATTTCGTCGCAATGAGGCTGATGCAGATCTCGACGTATTTAACCTTCGACAGCTAGAATCCCCGATCGTCTTCCTCGCCTGAGTTCCATTTTTAATATACCTCGGATGTTCCATCTCCGGACAATTACCATGCGCAACCTCGATTACGTCCTGTGAGGAACACAACAGCCAAGGGTCACTGAAGCTGCGATTTCGTCTGCTATCGCCGCGGTATCGACGTACTGTTATACATATCTAGTTGCGCTAGTTCTCTTTTCTGTACTTCTGTGAAGTGACTTATCGTTGCTTGAAATAAGATGCAAACTTCTCGGCTAGCAGTCCCGTTACGAGTCCGGGACGCCGCCGACGGGAAGGCGAGTTTGATGATCGACCTGACAAAACTATAATTTGATGAACCCGTCCTCTGCATACCAACGCACACGAGAATCTATCAGTCATTGGCTGGATCACTAGACACCGCTCTCCCGAGTCTATAAAACTGATACCGTGCATTTCAATAGACACCCTCCTTCGAGTTGATGGCCCATCCTTAAAGTGCACCTGTGGTCTCCACCCTCAGGTGCCTTACCTGCAATCTTGAATTCCTTCGTGGAACCGACCCCGACGGAGACGAGAGCGTCCTGCTTAGTGGCGTGCCCCTTATTCGTTCGGGCTAGACTCATTCATCGCCTCAAATACTCCAGGCCAACAATCTCACTCCACTAGTCTCGACTCTACTTTTGTTAGACTATGCAGTGAAGCCAATGGTCCCTTCTTCACGGCATTTTAAGACGCGGGCCCGTAGCGGGTCCACTGACGCTCCACTCCCTTCTGCTCCAAGGTCAAGGACAATGCCTGACTATCGATCTCGCGCAGAGTCATCGCAATGGCCACCCAGGTTGGACATACGTGCTGAGACTGCAGACGAAGCCGTTCGTATAGCTGCACTCGATTGGGAGGCGAAGCTAGCGAGCGACAAGATTGACCTTGGTATTTCGGCCGAGCGCTCAAGAAGGAAGAAGAACAAGACCGTGAAAATATTGCTTCTAGGTATGCTTCTTATGCTTCTTGTGCTTCCTTTCCGTGGCCTTTGTTTTGTTACGGAAATATTGTGGATCGTCCGCAGAGAAAAGGCTATTTGTCTCTTGCTTCTGCTAATTCTTCTCCAAAAGGTCAATCGGAGTCAGGAAAGTCGACAACACTGCGTAACTTCCAACTGAACCTCGCACCACGCGCTTTCCAAGCAGATGCAGAGGCATGGCGAACGGTGATCCACCTCAACCTCCTAATCTCCGTAAACTTTCTTCTCGACATTCTCAGGGAGTCGTTATTCTCAGCCTCCAACATCGAGAAGCACCCTCCAACCTCACTATCCACGCCCTCCCGGCAGCTCGTAGAGAGAGAAATATCACGGCTTCGGGCACTGGATAGTCCTCATCGTTACAATGATACTGGGAGAAGCAAGCAACCTTCCCCGACATTTTCCATCGAACTCCGCCGATTAATGCTCAGTCTTCTTCCACTGAGGAGTATCGAAACAACGCTACGACGACGACTAGGTGCCGAGTCTCCTGCTCAAGCGACAAGTTTTGACGAGAGCACGTCGGAAAGCCCAGACAAGACTTCGATTGACTGTGACGTGCCAAGGTGCCCAGCGGAACTGCTCCCTCGTCCCGCTTCAGCATTGTCCTCGCTATCTGGAGCATCTAATGTTCAGTATATGCATACGCCGGGCATTAGGAGGCATTCAATCTCGTCTTCGGCCACATCCTCGACATCGTCAAGCCCTCTTTCGAGTCCGGTCGGCTTCGACAAGCGGGACGGAAGGATCCCAGCGGCGAACTTGTCTTCAGATAATCTTGACCGAGGGTGGAAACACCGACGTCAAGTCAGCAGGCTCTATGGGCTCGTCGATTCCTTTGCGGTCAAAGTGCGAGGAAGTACGGGATGGAGGCGACGTGCACGGCTCCCAAATGACATAAGCTCTCGCGGTGATGCTAGTGTATCACAATCTGCGGAATCGGTGTGCCATTCCAGGAGGTCGAGCTTCGACTCTGTTAATGAGCAAGAAGAACGAGAACTCTTATCCGCTCGCCAGATTATCCAGGTCTTCGGCGAGGATATTGAAAGGCTCTGGCGGCATGAGGAGCTTCAAAGACTGCTAAAGAAGCGGAAAATCCGTCTGGAAAACAGGCCTGGGTTGTACGTTTTACCCTTTCTCGATGTAGATGCGAGTTGTGTAAAGTGCTAACTCATACGCAAGTTTCTTGAACGATGTGCCTAGGATAACAGCATTCGACTACATTCCTACGACCGGTATTTTAGATCCTACTTCCACCTTAAACTTTCGCTTACGACCCGTCTGTAACTTAGCCGATATCCTTCGTGCCCGTCTTCAGACGACCGGAGTTGAAGAGCACCGGTTAGTATTAGAAACTGGCCGCGACGCAGGTAAAGAATGGATTATCTACGACGTGGGAGGATTCCGCAGTCAGCGGGCTGCCTGGGCACCATTTTTTGACAGCGGTATGTCCTCTCTCCTTTCACATTGTGATAGACAGTCCCGGTTCCTGATCTGGGCTTGGAAATGTGCCTTAATGATGTCGCTTTCCAACTATTCTGTATCACCTCAGCCCTTGATTCTGTCTATCTTTACGTGCTGTTATAGCGCTGTTGATCGGTCTGGTTGTTGACTGTATGCTTACTTCGGCCTTCACGGTGGTTTTACTGTTACAGTGAACGCAATCATCTTTCTTGCTCCGATCTCATCATTTGATGAATGGCTCGCGGAGGACCCAAGTGTCAATCGATTGGTGCGTGTACACATTTTCTCGGCGGTTTTGAAAATAAGTATTTGCAATCTAACAACACGCATTTACCCAACAGGAGGATACGTACCATCTCTGGCGTGAAATCTGCGCCAATCGGCTCCTCGCCTCTGTTGAGTTTATCCTATTCTTAAACAAGTACGACGCTCTGCGTGCCAAGCTACGTTCGGGAATTCGCTTCGCCGACTATGTGATCAACTACGATGATGAAAATGGGACTAAGAATGATGCAGACAGCATCTCTAGATGTGAGTTTGAGGTGTTATTGCTCGGACTGTTAATGAATGGTAAACTAATTGCCTCGTTTTCCTCAACGTTTCAGATATGCTGGCTACATTTCACACTGCTCACAAACGTCTATCTCCAAGACCACGTAAACTTCGCTCGTATCTCACTTCAGTAATAGTGAGTAATTAACTGCTTCGGGCGTAGACGCAGGAAGATGAGGGCCTAACCTCGATTAAATAGGATTCTCGTGCCACCTCCAAGGTTGTGCACCACAGTACGTCTTTCCTAGCGTGTCATAATCTAGAAGCCTAATTCATCGTCCACGCAGTTCACGAACAAGTCCTAATTGGAAATCTCACTGACAGTGACATCTTGTAAAACTATATACTGTCTCGAGCTGGTCCTTTGTGCGTTTGTAGTTGTCCTTACTTGTTATTCGTCTACTTGCTATTTTGGATTTCGCAACATTTGTTGTTTCATCAGAATTAATTACCATGACTTCCGATCTATTATTTGCCTTGTACTACTGTGATTATTTTTCGACTTATGCTGTTGTGGCATACCTAGGCAATGAAAAAAATCCCGATTTTCTCTCTCACGTCGTAAATGCACGTTCAAAAACGGTCCCACTCTCTTGCCTCGGCTATTATATGATAGCTATTGCACACAAAAAGCAAACATCAATTCACTCGGACTTAATGTCTAGTACATACACCGGTATAGCAGGTAGATCCTCGCACCGGATCTATAAAACCGGAAATATGGAAGGCCAGAAGACAACAGAAGGTCGTAGAAGCAATAACACAAGCATCCAGACATTCAGTATCTGTAACGAGTAGAGTAGTCTGGAAGCAATAGACGTTAGTTTTATGTTAGCGAAACCCTGACGATATATGCGCACCTTTCGGGGATACCACCAAACCGCGTCCCTTGGAAGCACCGCGATATACAGTTTCAATGATATCGATAAGCTTCGCAAAAGAATTAGCCGATCGAAACGGTGCAGGTATAGACAAAAACTTGCCTCCTGTTTATTATCCATTGCCCAATTACTTGAGATAGCGAACCGAAGAATCAGCAACGTCACACGAGATATTGCTCGACTCTACTCACATCTTGTTGTTATTACCAGTACCAAGATCTATCATGATATGCTTGTTTCTTAAGGCCTCAAAGGATGAGTCATCGTTCACTACGGCACGCAGGACCAGAAAACGTACCGATAAAAGAACATCACTGTGCAAGGATCGTACAACTCATACATCTACGGTATTGAGAGGCGTACCATCATTCAGCAACAGATAACAATTCAACCACCTCATCCTAACTCACCTTGTTGAAATCCGGGACCTGTGTAATATCACAAAGATAAATGACAGCAAAATTCTGGACTTTCTCAGAGACACCATATAGGGTTTCGTCCATCTTCATACATTGCGGATCCCAGTCATGGCCAAAGCGAATGACGACGACACGGTCCTCTTCGGACTTGATAGCTTCATCAACATGCCATCCTGAAGGGAGATGCGGTAGGAAATAGGACATCTTCCAGCAACTCGAGAAAGCAGTCGTAGAATGCTTTAAGAAACGAGGGCAACAAGCCGTTTGTGTGGCGCAAGTCATTGACCCTTCGATTACGTGCTCTTTACTGCACGTGATGTACTTAAATTATTTTCATTCCGACCTCGAGGCTCGAGCCAACTCGCACACAAATAATCCTCTTTCAAACTTGATCGTCTAACTAAAAGCTCAAGGGGAAGCCATGTGCAGGGGTTCACCATACTAAACTATAACCGGAGGAAGAACCGTATGTATGCACCGGTTACCCGCCTGTCCTGTGCGAAGGGAGGATCAAAATGAGCCCAGGCCTCTGCTGGATTGAATACGTATGTTGCAAACTGTGGATCTACTCGGGCTATCGTTCTGTCCCTCGATTTGCGCCAGTGCACGCCTCACTATTTTACTATCTACTTTAAAGTTCTAACTAAGTCCTCAAGCCAACTTCTACCATCATTTAGCTCCTCGCTTGAGGACTCTTATCGCACGATATGGTGTCATCTGGTCTTCCTTTGACGCAAATATAGGTAGTCTTGTCCTGCTACAGCAGATGCAACTCGCACACCATCGATTTCACGATATTCTCGTGACTATGGCGCAGAATACGGCCCGACATTGAATATAAAGTACCTGTGTTGAGGACACATGCATCGAGTCTTGCACTTGACTATCCATCACACTATTTACTGCTCAGCCGGGTTATAGATATGGCTCCTGTAGCGACCGAACCACAGAACAATGGGTCTGAAAATGCCTCGCAGAGCTTGAAATCGAAGAATGTAGATGTATTCGACCCGTCGGACTTGCAAGAGAGTATTTCCTCGTTCAACCCATTTTATTCCCCTCCTCAGCAGGAGGACGGAGACGACTCATACGAGTATGATCGCTACAAGGTATGCATACACATTTCATACGAATCAAGCAACCCTTCTAATGATTGTGAATGTCATTGATGGTATGGACTGGGTACTTGCAGCCGTCTTTCCCTAAGATCGATTATCCACCCCTGGAGCCATTCGAAGTAGTCGACCGTGGTCAATTTGCGGATCCAGAGAAGCGTGCGCTCTTCTCCGCTGCGAAGAAAGTGACGCACCTCACTCCAGCCATCGGAACTGAGCTCGAAGGTATCGACCTGAGGGAGCTCACGGACGCACAGAAGGATGAACTGTACGCTCTGATCTCTGATAAGATCACCAATCGATCGAATTCTTAACTCGGTGACTTTGATTCGCAGTGCCCTTCTCGTCGCTGAGCGAGGTGTCGTCTGTAAGTTTAGCAGCTGTCATTGTCTTCGACGGCCACTCATCCATCTTATAGTCTTCCGCAACCAGGCACTCGATGTTCATCAGCAGCTCGATATCGCGCGTCATTTTGGCCCACTACATAAACATGCAACGACACCTGTACCGAAGGAAGGCGGCCTGGAAGAAGTGCACGGTAAGTGCTCTGGTACACACGGGCGCGGCATGATATGAATAATATATGCATGTAGTTGTTTATAATGACTCTGCCAGACGCCCCGACCCGTCCGCATTCTCGAAGCTCGAGCTGTGGCATGCAGACGTTACATACGAACTCCAGCCGCCGAGCACGACCTCGCTGAAAGGAATCACTATTCCACCCGTCGGAGGCGATACGCTATGGAGCTCCGGATACGCGCTGTATTCCTCGCTCTCACCAGGTTTCCAAACATACCTTGAGGGATTAACCGCTGTGCACAGCGCAGCAGCTCAGGCAGCCGGCTCGCGTGCTGCTGGACTACATGTCCGCAGGCATGAGATTGATACGATACATCCCGTCGTACGCGTTCATCCAGTAACTGGATGGAAGAGCGTGTACGTGAACCCTGGTTTCACGCGACGTATCGTCGGTGTGTCTAAGGCAGAGTCGGATACAATCTTGCAATTCCTATTCCACCAGATCAGTGAGAACCCTGACTTCCAGGTGCGCTTCCGTTGGGAACGCGACTCCATTGCCTTCTGGGACAATAGAGTATGTATTATGTGCATTGTATCCAGCTGATCGATCCCTGAATAACGCTTTTCCGCAGATCGTAACGCACTCGGCAACTTTCGACTTCTGGCCCCATCGTCGACATGCGCTCCGAGCAACACCACACGGAGAGCGACCCCTTTCAGTTGCTGCGTACGAGCAAAAGACAGGAAAGAAAGCGCAGGACCGTCAGCAGGAAATCTGGAAATCGCTTGGTGTTGCAGATCCTTTGGAAAAGGCTCGGAAGGCTGGTGCGGGAAGCGGTCCGAGAGGGTACAATGACTGAGTTGCACTTGGTTATTGGTTCAGGGCTTGGAGGCCGACACGAGAAAAAGGAGAAAGGAAGTTCAAAATATATGTATAGCAGTATAACGTCGTGCAATTAGACCCCAATAAGGAAGAAAGAGTCTTTAAAAGTCATCTCAGCACAGGTATGATTCTGCAGTAGAGGATGCAATCACAGAAAGGAAAGTGGGCTGCGTTCTAGAGAGGCCGTTCAAGTCCAGGCAACATAGCGCAAAACTCACTCCATCTTCTAACGGTCATTCGTGAGAGCTGAGGGGGCCTTTTTGAGAGAGTGGCCAATCGCGGATGTCTATGTTCTTCATTCATAAAGAAGCCAAATCAATCACACGAGAACGTAACAATGTGTCATGCGCACAAGTAAGGTAAGGAAAGTATAAACTCGACATAGTATGTCACATCAGTCACAGCACAGCCACTTCCCCATTAGGAAGGACCCTGATGGCAAAAATCGAGCAGTGGACATTGACATTTTTTTTAGCACTTGTAAATACAAAAAAAAATATAGATTATGGTTTTACAGCTCAGCCAGAATACTAGCTGGAAGGATTCTATAGCTATAGTATTTCTTATTTGCCTATTGAGCCTGTGCTCCTGTCAACCCCTTTCTATATACATCCATGAACTGAGCAGACCAGTTACAATACTTACAAAACATATAATAAAATCAATTTTGTAAGAAAGAAAGATTTAAAGTACTTACTTTTGAAAGAAATCAAGAGGAATAGAATTAAGGCATGTTTGAACATGCTTTTCCATTTGAGCTTCAGTAGTAGGGGCAGGCATCATCCAGTAGTTGAATTTAGTATAACCCTAGTACTGTCCATCAATTCATTAGGCTCAATTGGGACAACAGTCTTTACATCCTCTCTAAAACCTAGAGTGTTAAACTCTTCCTTGTTGTCAGTCCATAAGATTTGGCTTGAACTTGTAAGGTAAGGAAAGTATAAACTCAACATAGTGTGATGTGACAGACTAACCCAATTTGGATGCAAACAATGATGGCAAAATACAACACTCAGTATCCCAAAAATGTAAATTTGAGCTACATAGATATATTCAGCTTAATCTAACCTACAAAGTATGTTTTTGATTTTTTAAATATTGAGATTGAGTGAGGTTATTTCCAAAAAAAAAAA